CCGCCCCCCATAGGCGGGCCACACCCGGGCCCCGCCCCCTACGTGCCCCGCCAACTACCCGCTCATCCGGGCCCCGCCCCTCTCCACGCACCCAGGCCCCAACCCCTGCAGGCCGCGCTCCATCCAGGCCCCGCTCCTGCCTCGCGCCTCACCTGCAGGGTGCAGCCGAAGACCCCGATCATGAGCATAGCCACGGTGAGGTACTCCGCCAGCACGTCCCACCAGGGTTTGAGCACCTTGAACGCGGGCTGCTGCTCCGTGAACTGCTTGAACTCGGCCACCGGAATCATCTTTCCTATGGGAGAGGAGGAGGCAGGGGTTGCAGAGACCCTCAAGAAGGGGCGTCTGGTGGTGGACCCCCAGAGGAGCCAGACACACGCCTCTGCTCCCAGTTTGTGCTCTGCCCTGCCCGAATCTGGCAGAAGGCACGAGCTGTGTGCCCCCTCTCTCCCCCAGACCTCACCTCCTTCCTGAAGCCAAGCTACTACCGGTCTCACCACATCTGCTCCCCGGGATCCCTGCCCCCCCTCTGACGCCGCTCGCCCTTTCAGAGGTCAGGAAGGGCAGTCCACGGAGCCGCTGTCCCCCAGCTTGCCCGAGTGGCCTTCTCCCAGAACCCAGCCATCTCCCACCCTTGATGACGAGCCCAAACCACTCGCTCTGCCGCTCTGACTCCAGACACCTGCTGTCCGGACCGCTAGCCTCTGCTGTCTCTGCCACTGGGCCAGAGAGAGCGTCTGAGGCTGAGGACTTCCGGGGTGTGGGCCCCCCACCCCCTTCAGGGGCGCTCCGGGCACCACCTCCAACCTCCAACCGGAAAAGCCGGCTGGAGCCTGGCTCTGGTTACAGGGCCTGAGGGGCAGGGAGGGGCAAAGCTGAAGGCTGGTCAGTGGAGGGGAAGGAGGACTAGAACACCTGGGTTTCTAGAGGGATCGGTGCCCAGAAACTGAGGCAGACGACAGAAACCTGGGCTCTGACTGGGAGGGTGGGGGTCGCCAGGATGGCCGGAGGGCAGAGGATCAGGAAATGGAAAACTCAGGGACAAAGCCAGAGTGACACCTACTGTCTGGGCTGGGGCTGGGCTGCCAGGCTCCTGGGCGGCCAGCCCGCTCTGTCTGTCCCTGGGTTTCACTTTAGACCAAGGTATCATTATTTCAGATACGGGACAGCTAGGAGCGAGTCACGTGGGGGCATGGGCCACAAGCTGGGACATCACCCTCCCAGAACAGGCAGCTGGGGAGCCTCCCTCCCCCTCTCCCGGAGGCTGGACGGAAGGAAAGGGAGGCCGCAAGGCCCCCACTGCCTTTTGAGGGGGCTCCCAGGCTGGACTGCCTCTCACAGCACCCTGCCTCCCTTTGCAGTCCCCAGGTCCCTGAGGCCTGGGGTTGACTCCCGGGCGGGGATGAGGTAGAGACGGACAGGGATGCGGGCTGTAAGCCCTGCCCACCGGGCTGAGGGCGAGGTAGTCCACCACACCTTCTAATCCCTTCAAAAGCCCTCACATCGGGATGGCAGGGGCAGGGCCCCCCCTGACTCAGGCCCTGACTCACCCAGAGCCGGGCACAGGCAGGGGGTGCACAGACAGAGCACGGGCTCCCTCCCACAATGCCCCATTCCTCACTCTCAGTTTGATGCCCTGTCCTAAAAGAAAAGCTGAGTAGAAGTGCCCCAGCGTATCAGTGCCGTCAGCCAGCTGGGAATCTTATCAGCAGCACCCTGGGGGCCACATGAACAACGTAGCCACCAAAAGGGACACCTGGGGGCATTCTGGAGTGTGCATACGGATGCAGGTGGGTACCCGGAGCCGTATACACTGGGCTGAGGGGAGACCCAGGACCTGTTCCAGCCAGCCACCGTTCTCCCTGCCCCGGGTACCTGTGAGGGACACGGCTCCGCTGTTGGGGCTGCGACAGAAATGCCACGTACACAGGCGAGGACCAACTTCCTGCCTGGGTCCATCTCGCAGTGGCGGAAGCTGCAGTATCCACCAGGTCAAGACTACAATCAAAGGCAAGACGGCGGCGACACCGAGGGTCCCCAGTGGATGGCCCAGTGGCTCCCACGGAACAAGGTATATACACAACGCCATCAGAGGCAGACACTGGGGTTATCATTATCTGTCTCCATGACTCAAACTCGATGGTCTGAACCTGCCATTAAGCTTCCACAGACACAAGGCCGGCCCCCCCTTTGTCTGAGCAGGGCTAGCGGGAGGGCCCTGGGCAGAGGGCTCCAGGGATGGGGAGCCCAGAGGAAAACAACAGCACGGCCATACGCAACTTATGGCCACCAGATGCTTCCGGTGCCTCCTTTAATCCCCACTCTGGGGGAGGGAGGGCACCACAACCCTCATTTTCCAGACTCAAGGGGAGGGAAGGAACCAGCTGAAGCTTTCACAGCTACAAGCGGTATGTGAGGCGTGACTCCCAAGTCTCATCTGTCCCCTAGCGCCCTGTCTGCCTCATCTTGGGTGAGAACCTCTCGCTGGGATGCAGCATCTTTGCCAAAAGGAGCCCGGAGGAGAGTGTTCTAGCAGAGAACGTTCTCGCAGAGAAAAGATGGGCGGAGGGCTGCTCTGCAGGGCAGGCCCTGGGGGTTCTGGTCGGCCTGGGACCGGGTCGTGCCCCCTACCTAGCCTCAGCTCTACTATCCATGCCTCACCCCTGCAACTCCCCTCTCAGACCCTCCCTAGGCTCCCAGCTTGCCTCCTGGGGACAGTGGTGGGTGCTCGGGGTCCAGCCCCCCTCCTCGCCCACAACCCGTGCTAAAGGGCAAGGAGGACACAGGGGTAACTGTCAGCCCTGAAACGGGCTTTGAAGCACACAGGTCCAACCTTTGACTTTTACACAAGAGAGGAACTAAGGTCGGGGGTGGGGGTAGGGGTCCCCCAGTAGCAAATCTTGGGTCAGGCCCCAGGCCTGGGGACTCTCCACCTAGTACTTTTCCAAGCTGCCCAGCCAGGACTTGGGAGTCAGGGAGTCTTGAGGTTTAATAGTCCCAGGGAGGGCAACTTGGTAGGGACCCCCAGTGGTAGGGTTCTGGGGCGTCCAGGGGAACATGGCCAAGACCCCATGGGGGTCTCCCCCAGCCTGCTGATCTGTCCTTGGCCAGGCTGGCCTGCTCCCTGACAGGCGCCCTAGGTCTGGCCAAGGCCGAGTCTCTCGCCGCCTCCACCCCCTCCCCAGCTCCTTGTGTCCCTGGCGGGCGGGCCGCGGGCTCAGGCGGCAGTGCCGGCGGCACCTGGGGCGGTCCTCACGTGGGCCAGACCCCCACCCCGCCACCCGGTCCCCAGGGACGGGGAGCCTCCTACTCACCGCTCTGGCTGGGACGCTGGGCCCAACTCCTGGGTCCCTGGGAGCGGAGCAGCCGGGACTCCCGCAGAGTTCCCGGGCCAGCCTGG